AAAAAATTATTTAATACAATCTTAATCTAACTCTAAAATACATGTTAAAGAAACCTAGAATGAATTGGTAAATGAGAACCGGGTTCGGATCTTCATTAACCAAGTCCAAATACACACGGTTATAATGGGCCCCGGTTTCCGAGTCGCCGATCCAGCCGACAATCGCAAGTTGATGTCTCCACCAATCACAAACTACTCTCACTAGTTCCTTATCTTATCCCCCAAGTCATTACATCACCATTTAATTAAAGATCAAAGGGTACCACTAAAAAAAAAAAATACTACTTCTAGCATAAGTCTTGAGGAAATAGTTTGGAGCATATTATTATTATCACTCTTAGTGCCCCAACATGTTGAGTTGCTTGAAAACTCATTCTCGACTTTTATAACCAAACAATTTGGGTTCTTTGACCTTTCAAAACTTTCTAATGAGTGTATTACATTTCCATTTAAAAGTTCAATAATTTATTGACCTATAAGGCTATAAAGACCATATTCTAGGTGAACATGTTTTTGTCATAGATTAGATGAGCATTAATTCAAGGATGATGGATATTTTGATCCAAGACATATATCAAAATCAATAGCACAAAAATTTTGTCTTTGGATTTTGCTTAGTGATTCAACCTACAAATCATTTTTCATAATTATTTTGACTAAATGAATCCATATAAGATGTTATGCAAACTCTAAAATTAATAGTATCTTCTAACTCTATCATTTTTTTATTTGGTAAATGATCTATAAAATTAATGGTTTTACATAAATTCTCTACAAAGAATTCATATTATGAGGCAAAAATTCTTTTCCTTACCTTATTTTTATTATGAATTTTCCTTATATTCCTTTTTTATCAAAATTTTCCTTATATTCTTCATTAAACATAACACAATTGACAAACATTTATAATATATAGTAATCTCTCTATCTCATAAATAATACTCATGTTCTTACTTTTTCTTGAAATAATGATTTGTTGTAATAGGAATTGGGATGGATATTTAAAATCAAGGAGTAAAATAGAAAAAAAAAATATTCATCTTCTTTTCAAACATGAAAAAAAGGGACAATTAATCTTTGAAATTTTTTTTTAAAACAAGGCAATTTGGGGAGAAAAAAGTATCGTTCATAAAATTTGAAAACGTAATTTATAAAATGTGATTTTCACTTAATCAAGAGTCTCAATCACTAAATCTAGATGTATAAATCATCTCTAACAAATATTTAAGCAATAGAATGACTATTAATCTATTATGGTTAGATAGAGGAAGTAAAGCCTTAGAGGCTTAAAATCCAATTGACTTATTTTTAAGATTGAAGACTCTTTGCCAGTTTGCCTATATAACCTTTAAAGTTCGAGGACTAAATAATAAAAACATCAACATTATTTTTGGTTGGTCCCGCGAGATTAGGGAAGAGGGAAAGAAGCGTGAATTGGAATCGATACGATTTCGTCTCGCTCCCGCCGCGCGACACGTGTATTTTTCCCCTTTTAACCCTCCTTTTCTCCATAATTAACGACAAAAGCTCACCGCCGCTGCCCTTCCTTTTATTTATATTTATATATATATTTTTTAAAATTCCATTCTTTTTCATTTTCATTTTCTGTTTGGGAAAAATTTTCTCGCGTTTTCTCTCTGCGGAAACTTCACCTCTCCCCTCCCTCTTTCCCCTCCTTTTTTTTCCCCTCTTCGGATCCAATTCCGCCACCCACCTCACCAAAAATCTGAGAAATATATTTATTGATCCTTGATACCGTGCCTATATAGGAGAGGTTCTGCTCTGTTTCGGCAGGATTCGATGCCAAGAGGCTGTAATTAGCTATCTCCATCTCTGTGGATTGCGTTTGTGGGAGTGAAGTAAGAAGGGTTTTTTCCTGTGTTGTTTGGTGGTAATCACGATCTCTGATTTTGGTTTTGATTATCTCCGATCCAGGTTGTGCTCTTTGATATACCCTCGTTTCTTATTAATTCTGTTGCAAACCCTAGTTTTGAGGAGGTTAGTTGAGGGAAATTCTTTGATTCTTTTTGTGTGTATATATTAATTCTTTGACACCATCGGTTTCTGGATCCAGTTTTGTAGTTGATGTTAGGCTTCTTATTACAAGAAAAACTCTCTGAAATTTTTGGTGCTTTGTTTTAGTTAGCATTCCAAAATCGAGGGTTTTCTTGTTAGATTAGGAAATCCACCACCTTTTTCTTTTCTTGTTCTTTTTCTTGTCTTTGTATTCAATTCCTGATCCGTCTTCCTTCCAATTTGAAAACAAAAATTATCTTCTTTCACTAGAGCACTCCCTCCCAAAAAAAGAAAAGAGAAAAAAAAAAAGAGAAAAAAAAAGAAAAAAAATACAAAATCTAGGGTCTTTAGGGTTATTTGCATGTAAAAAGATCTTTTGGGGTTTGCTTTCCATATTATCTGTACATAGAGAGTGGGTTCGGTTGTCTATACTAGGATGGCATTGAATTTCTCGCACCGACCCCTCTTTCCGGCTCATTTAAACGAAGACAATTTGGTTGCTCCAATGAGGATTGCCAATGGATACCTCGTTGAGGGTAGGCCGGATCAGAATAATGGAGACAGCTTTTGTAGATCTTGGCATTCTAATGGTGAAATTGAGGGGTTCTTTGATTATGGGAAAGATAAGGGTGATAGGAGATATGACTCCCATGATTCGGTTTCTAAGGACATTCTTGATCTTTTGCCATCTGATCCCTTTGGCATGGATATCAGCAGTACTGTTACTGCAATTACTGGTTGGTTAGAGGATCTGGAAGTTCGTGGGTATAAAAGGGATGAAGTGGGGATGGGTGATGGGAATTATCAGCTATTTACAGATTGGAATTTTCTTTGGAGCAATGCTAAGATGTTCCAGGCTTTCCCAGGCGATGTGGGGTTTGAGCATAAAGCTCATATAACCAGTGGGTTTGGTGTGCCTTCCAAGGAGAAGGATGTAAGGGATGCCTCATGTCATGGTGGTTTTGGGTCAGCTTGTAATGTGGAGGATGTTTTGAGTTATGGAAATTCAAATTTGAGAGATTGTAGTCAGGACAGTGAGTCTCATTCTGATGGAGGAGCTCCCCATGCAGCTTTGCTTTTTGCCCTTGGTTATCTAGGGGTGCGGGATCTTCTCGTAGTTGAGACAGTTTGCAAATCTTTGCGATCTACAGTTCAGAATGATCCCCTTTATTGGAGGAGTATTCACATAGATCAACCTCTCAATGAGAAGATCACTGATGATGCTCTTTTGGAATTAACCAATAGAGCACAAGGTAACTTGCAATGCTTGAGCTTGGTGGCTTGCCCACGGATTACTGATGAAGGTCTGAAACATGTGCTTGAAAATAATCCAAGACTAGTGAAGGTTTGTTTATCTCTCCCGATGCTGATTCCTACCTAAGTTTTTGCATTGGAGGTTACACAACAGCTATTAGTGGCACATGTCTATACATTGTCTTATTTGCATATTTTAAATATTGTGTTGTTACTTTTGTTGCTAAACGTACAATCCCAAGAATTGTATTATTTTGAAGTTAAATGCATGATGTTGGTAGAAATTGTATTTTTGCTGGTTATACATGGAAAACTAAAGTGTATTAGCTTTTGGATTGGATCAAACTACATTTTTTAATTTTATGGTTCAACCTTTCAACCTGTATGTGTTGTCATTTATGGTAGTTGCATTTGCACATGAAATGATTCTGCTATAGCCTTTTAGCAAGTATATTTGTTCTGTTTCTTATTTGTTATTAACCTGCCAAGTAATTTATGGTAAAAAATCTGCTAATTGTTATCTCCCTTCTTGCAGTTGAGTGTGCCTGGATGTACAAGACTGAGTATTGAGGGCATTGTGAATAGCTTAAAGGATTTCAACTCTATGGGTGATCAAGGTGTCAAGCATTTGAGAATTGGGGGGCTTTATGGTGTCACACAAAAGCATTTTGAAGAGCTGAAGTGCTTGTTGGGAACAGATGACCAAACAAGTCTGAAAAAGCGTAAGCCACATTTTTATCACAGAGGCAACCTTTATCTCTCTTGCGAAGATGATCGTGCCATTGATGTAGAGATGTGCCCAAGGTGCCAAAACTTGAAACTTGTTTATGACTGCCCTTTACAAAGTTGTCAGGGGAAGGAACATGCTACTAAAGTATGTAGGGGGTGCACACTTTGCATAGCACGGTGTGTTCAATGTGGTCGATGTATCTATGATAATGAATATGAGGAAACATTTTCTTTAGAGTGGATCTGTTCAGATTGTGGGAAGCAGAGGCAGGATAGAAACATTGAGACCTCTAAGCATCACTCTCTCCATCAGCCAAGCAGCCTCTGTCTTTATGGCTAAGGGGTAATACTTGCAAGTTTTCTGATTTCAGATTATGGGTTGGGATGTTTTTCTGATAATGGTATGTGCCCAGGCAGCAGTGTGAGATCATCTTTCCTTTCTATTTTTTATTGCCATATTGTAGTCTGCTATCTGCATTTGTGATACCTGGATGGGTCATATTTGAGAGGACCTTTGTGTCTTGGTTCTGTTATAGCTGGAGGAAAGGATTTGAAAGAAATGGGAGATATATGGAAAGGAATAACATTTAGAACAAGGAATCTGAAGAAGGCAGGGTCTTCTTTTGTTAGCTTCTTATGCAGAGATCTCAATTCCATGGTTTCTATAATTGGCTACACTAGTTAATAAGTTCTCTAGTAGATCAGTTTGCTTGTTGATGTTGGGAATTGAAGTGAGTCCTGCAGATGTGGGCACAACCTCTAGGCATGTGTTTGCAGTGAAATTATTGTATTGTCAAACAGTGTGCACTGGAAGTTGACTCCTGCTGTATGAACGAATGCCCTCATCCATTTGACACCTTCGGTGGGGACAGCTTTTGCTTCCAAAAGTGTGTTTTGTGATCAGTACTTTCTATGTGGCTGCTAGTGTGGCAGACTGCTCTCAAGCACCTGCTTGCTGGATGGAATCATTTGGGAGGGTGTTTCAGCATTTCCAGCTTCCCTTTATTCTATGTTACCTACTTGGCTTTCTTAATCACTAAAGTTTTACTTTTGTGGAAGGATAGCATGAAACCTTGTTTCTTCCTTGAAGGAAGATAGTCTGATCACTTTTGTAATGTAAAACTGTATACTTTTTCATCTCATAAAATGTGATGCTTTTCAATGTATGTTGTTGAGGGTTATTTGTTGGACATCAGATATTTGTGTAACCCTTTAACATAAAACGTTTTGTGACTACATAGAATGCTGTGAAATAAATTCAGTTGGCATCATCTTTTCCTTCTTTCTTATATATATTTTAATGTTTTTGGCACCCAAAAGAGGTTCAATCTCTCTTAACCTATTCCTTTTATTGTGGATGATGAGCAGTCAGTTCCGTATGTATGATCATTATGATATTGTTTCCCCATTTTGAAGTGCAAACTGCATCACCGGTTCACAGCTTAAATACCCTTCAAATTGCATCATAGGAACAGAAGTCCCAGAGAGTAATGCCAACAGATTCCTTCTGGTTTTTTGCAAAGCATTCATTTTCATTTCATCTTTTCCTTCTCCGGTCCTGACCACTTAAAAGTCTCTCACGATATCCAAGCCATAATGTTCCTAGTGCACAGTGCTTTTTAAGGTTTTATAGGGGACAGGAACAAAAAGGGCCTGGGTTCATCACCTCATTTTGTTAAGCTCTTAACACCATTTATTAATTACTGTGCCTTCCCTTACTGCTTGGTGATCAAATTCTGAGACAGTTGATGTTAATATCCATAGAAGAAGACTGCTTTAACAAGAGGAACTTCTTGATGTTATTCTAGAAATACAATTTTGCCTTGATGAGTAGATATCACTGAGGAAAACGAAAACCATCTATGCCCCCAATGGGGTGTCCATCACTAGAAAGAGCCTGAAATTTCAATGCTGAGATCTTTAATTCAAACTTTAAGATGTGAAGAGGGATTTGGGAAAGTCTTGGATAACCCCCACAACTTAGAGTTTCAAACTTTTATCAATTAAACACAACTTTATGAAACATTCTTAATGTATATAGTTGATAATCAAATGTATAGAAAGGAAGGAAACCAATTACACAAAATAACGACTTGTGAAAATGTAGCTAAATTAATCAGATTAAGGTGCAACAAATGAAACATATTATTAAACGAGAGAGAGAGAGAGAGAGAGAATATATCATGTGTATTCAGCATTATGAGTTATGACTACATTTTAATACAGACGGAATGTTAAAAACATTGCAAGGGAGAAGGCTGTCATTTAGACAAAGAAACTGCATTGAATTTTTTTGCTTAAACAATGACAGAATCATAAAGCTCTATAAAGCTTTATCCAAGTTGGAAAACAATGGTGACAAATCAATGACTGAAGGAGGCTCCTTGTTTGCAGTAGCAGAGACCCTTATCATTTCTGAGATTTCTTGCGCAACTCCTTGATCCATTTGAAAGTTAGCAATGACTTCCCAAACTTGCTCTTGCCCGATCCATCTTCCTTCTTGTCATTTTTTGATGATTGTGGAGGAGGGTCATCCTTGGAATCCCATTGATCAGCCCAGGATAACCCGTTATCCATCGCTCCTTCCTTGTGGTTTCCCTCCGGAACTCACTTATTGTGTTATAGATGAAGAGTTTTATAAATTTAGCTCAACTGTTATTTGCTTATTTTGACATTACATTACTATAGGTTGTAGCCATTGCCTTGTATTTGTTTGGAGGGAAATTTTGACAAAACTTAGTTGTTTTAGTTGGGCAACATTTGAATTTTTCCTTCAACTGCCATTTACTTATTTTAACATGTGATTTTCCTTCCATTGATTGAAGTCCATTGCTTTTGAAGGTGGTTTGTTTTGAATGAACAGCCAGCTATGGAAGATTGATCATAATGAAACAATATTAAAAGTTCCAATCACACCAAACAGGCTCTAAAAAGCAAATAATGAGACTTAACGTTGTCCATAATGAAAGTAGAATGAACGGTCTTGAATTTTAATCCGTTAAAGAACATGATTCAGAAAGAGTTACACAATTGCAGCTAACTAGCTACTTAACGAATAATGGGAACCCTTTCAACAATGAAGGGGAATCAGATGCTGTTGTTTTGATAGAAGGTTCTTCATCTATAACATTCAATATGACCAGCAATCTCCCTACACAACAATTTTGCATTTTTAGCTAACTTTATGCTCTTAGATATTACAAGACCTGTCTGCTTATGAGTAGATGCTGGCTCGTATGTCTTGACCTCCTCGCCTCTACCTAACAACAGAGCTTCCCTAGCAGGTATCACATTTCCCCACCAAAATTCCCGCAAAATGCCATGAATTAGCTCCCAATAACTGCGCTCCCTGTGTACACGGAATATTGAGCTTCCGTTTGGTGTCCAGCAGTATAAATCAACCCAATCTCTGTCCATTATCTCCATTTGACCCTGCACCTGAGGCATGTAATAAAATGGCATGCTTGACCAGGGCAGTGCAGTCTCAGGCTTCCCTTTGTTGTATGGACACTTTACTTCAAGGATACCACCTTCAGGAAAGCAACCAAGAAGACCATCAGGGGATGCACCAAGCCAATCAAACTGTTCATTTGAATGGATTGCAAAACCCAACAAGCCAACATCACGACCTGTGATGCTTTTGTACTGCTCTATAGCAGCTACTTCATTAAGCACACCCCACTGCAAAGCACACCTCCTAGAAGATTCCACAACCTCTGTCTCTGATAAAAATACTTTCTCATGCCAGAGCTCATAACGGCGTTTTCCTTTCCAAAAACCCAATGCGGTGCTAAAGGTGCTTGTGGTCAACTTGTTTCTTCGAAGGGCAAACCATTCATCTGAGCGTTGAGGTATATCAGATGGAGTGAGGTTGACACCAAGTGAACAGGGGAAACGTACATTGTGAAGGGTGTTTTGAGAATTGTGTGGCACAGGCTGCACAGCCCAGGTGAAAAAGACTTTGCAAAATCCATTTCCCCAACTTTTGCTCAGGGACAGTTGTGAAACTGCCTTATGACGAACAGTTGAAAACCTAGCAATACAATGATTGCTCATTGGGAAGGAATAAGGCTTTTGATCAATGCTTTAGATCAATGCTTTATTCCTCTGCACTTGTTCAAAGGATTACTTGGATATTTGCACCTAAAGAATATACAAGAAATTTCCCTGCTCAAAATGATGCTTATACGTTATTATGATAAAAATTAACATAACTGAATAACTTAATGAAACCAACATAATAAATTCTAAAATTTTTTAAATTTCTTGGTTACAAGTCTACAGCACAAAGAGACTATGTCACAGAGAATCAACAAGAAAGAAGTCTGTTCTTATATCCTCTCACGGAGCATGTCTTACTATTGCCAGTTAAGTGATCAACATTTCATCTTGGTAGGTAAAAGTGAACAACTTGTTTGAAATTCAGGGAAAGGAAACTATAATTGAACCCTAGATCATGAATTACAAAAAGTGGCATTAGCCATAACTGCATCATATTGATTGTTTATGTCAGACGTTAAACAAGATTAGGAAATCATGCAAATATCAATGAACTAGCAAAGAAGCAATCCTCTTCTGAATTCTGATTAAAAAATAATAATAATAATAATCCACAAAAAATCTTAACTTTCAGCTAAATTCACCAAATTCATGATATATTGACATAGAACTAAAGAACCCATTTCGTATAGTTCCTCATACAGACCAACTAACCTGCTTTTCTTGCCTTTACAATAAAAATAAAACCCATCTACGTAATGCAGGTGCACTAATACGAATGATTAGGAACAAGAACAAACACCATGATCCCTATAATATGGGCACAAAGGGCATAAAACCAAAAGTAAAGACAACAACTGATCAATAATATTCAGGAAATAATCTGATAGACCGCTGTATGATATGGAAAAAAGGGGCTCACAAATCATGGACATAAGGTGTTTGATAGTATACCTGAAAGAAAGCTATAGCCTCCAAAATGGGAAAAGGGAGACAAAAC